TGTAAATCTTTCCCGCACGTGCGCATGTATGGAGAAATGCGTCATCAGTTTTATCGTGTTGCCGTTGTTACTTCCATTGTCCTTTTTATGCTATTTTATAGTACCTGTTGTTTGTTTGAACAAGGGTAAGTATTTAAAATGATATGTATATACATATATTCTATTCGCGAATTTAAATATTGTGCCATTGAAAAATATAAAAACCATCAATAAATGTTTACGTCGATACCTACTGGAAAGGTGGACAATTTTCTTGTTTGTGTTATATGTTACTGAAATAGTACATATACTTATAAATATCATATATTATGATATGCTTTCCAGGCGTTAAAGAAGATATATAGTTCCCATTTGTGTACCTTGAAAATATCACATTAATGCAGACATCTATAAAACATTCAGTCATTCTTATAAGGTTGCATTTTTATTATTTTTGGTAATGAACATAAAATATCCAAAAAATCTGGAAGCAACATTAGAACTAATTCAAAGATTCTTCTTGAAAATTTATCCGAATAAAAAACAAAAAATGTATCTGGATCAGAAAGGAAAGTGTTCAATTTCTTAAACAAATTTAAAGAAGCAGAGGAAGTTGATAATATAGACATGTTCCTTTCTTTTTTAGAAATGTAGGTGGTTATATTCATAACCTAAAATAATAATAAAATACTTCTTAAAATCACATAATATGTTATTTTATTACCATGTTCAAATAAATATCACAGTACTGATTATGTCATTTTACAAGATATACAATATATTTAAAATAATACGTAACCGATAATGTCATATTCCCGTAAATGTAATGTACTAAAGACGCGTTATTAATTATGTAAATTTAATATATAATTAATTTCGTAAATTCATATAACTTAACGTTGGTTACAAATTACCAACGTTATATTATGTAATTTTACAATGAACGTTTTTTTCAGTGAAGGCTAAAAACTTACAAAAGGAATTAAAAATATATTTAAAGNCGTTATTAATTATGTAAATTTAATATATAATTAATTTCGTAAATTCATATAACTTAACGTTGGTTACAAATTACCAACGTTATATTATGTAATTTTACAATGAACGTTTTTTTCAGTGAAGGCTAAAAACTTACAAAAGGAATTAAAAATATATTTAAAGTACACTTCAGCTAGTTGAAACTTTCTAAATGGTTATTTCTGAAAATAAATACTTTCAAGATTTGTGGTAAATATTTGTATGAAAAATAAATATTTCTTTTAGGTCATCCATGGTTGGGACATTTGGTTTGTAAAATTGAAAAAATATCAGCAACAACTTTATGACATAAAGTGAAGAGTTAAATACTTCAAAATTAGTAACAATGAGGATGATAATGATAATATTAATTGTAATTCATTTTAACAACTTGCTTGCTGGTCCAAGAAACACAATTGCTACCAGCCATATTGTTAAAGTACATGATTGGAATTGGGATGATATTGCGGTCGAATGTGAAACTTTTTTAGGGCCAAATGGGCAACGGGGGATAGAGGTAAGAGTCTTTTTCAAGTATCAAGATACTAAATTTCAAACCAAGTAACGGTAGTTGGCGAGAGTGGTCGTGCTTTCATAATACCTGCGACATTGTGGGTCGTTTCCTACCAATATGACCATATTGAATGGTCCAGAGGTAATGAGTAGCACTGACCTTGCACAGATGGAGCCACTATCTGCGCCTGGCGTATACTAACTTTCATTTATTTAATAATGGATATGATAATTGTGATACTTGCAGATATTACTTCCAAACGTAAAAGTTGAGAGAAAGCTATTCGAACCAATCAATTATAATGCGTACACAATCTTGGAAAAAGAATTCTTATTGATCGATATGATCAAACGGTGCAATGCTGCTGGGGTGAGGTAAGCAATTTTAGGGCTGCTATAAGCAATTTTTATTACAATTATAATGGAAAATCCATAAGTATGTTCCGACTATAAAGGAAGTGAATACTATTGAGTATTATTTTAAAGAAAGAGATTCTATGAACCTGAGTCCTAAACGATTTAGTTATCGAGATGGCTGGCAACTTAATAAGTAAAGATGAAAATTCAGACTAAAATGACGTATGCTGTACAATTCATACTAAGTTTGTAAACCTATTATTTAGAATTTAAATATTCTATAAATTTAATTAATATACATATTTCAGGGTATATGTAGCTGGAATATTTAACCATTTAGCTGCTATTACGGACAGCATCAGAACCCGAAGGAAATATAATTTAATTTTTCCAGAAAAATTGTTAAATATTTATGCGAAATGTGCTGCTCACAACTACAATGGAAACTGTCAAATCTGTGACCTTGAAGACATGATTAAGGTGCTTAAAATGTTCCAGTATAGAAATAGCACTGCATAGCCTTAAGTTTTCTGGCAGCAGAAATTTTAAAATAGATTTCTGAAGTTCTTATTTTAGAGTCCTGAAAATATTGTACAAGGGATTGTTAACTATATGAATCACTTGGTAAATATTGGAGTTGCAGGATTTAACGTAGATATTTCGAAACAGACGGTGCCCATCAATTGGAAAGACATTCATGGGAGGATTGACAATCTGAATACCAACCACGGTTTTCATGTCGACACACGACCACTGTTCTACCAAGAATCTATAGATACAGGTAAATACATACATACAAGATGCAAACTACGAGTAAATATTTCTGAACTAGTCAATAACAAGAATCTAAGTAATAATAGTGTGAACACATGGTATGGCCGGCATTATACATCGCGTCTCATAACCGACACAGGACAGGTGCATGTAGGAGTGCCCGAAATATTGTTATTTAATTGAACTTCCTAGGATATAAATTGAACACGAGTTCAAGGTCGTTGAGTTATCATATAATGATAATTAGTAGAGACCCACTTTTAACTCCATACGAGTTTTTTGTTCTTTGACACTGTAAATTAGAATCACCAAAATGTCAACATTATTATGTTTTAATAATAAAATTCTTCCATTGTTTCAAACATGGCTGAAAATTTTTATTTAGGGAACAATATGTTAATGTCGAGTTTCTGTGAAGGAAACTGCCGAAGGTGTATGGAACAGCATCGAAGAAGATTTCCTAATCATATCGTTCCATACAGAGAAACATCCAATGTTGAAAGAAAGGAAAGAGAACAGGAATGTTTTTCAGTACAAATCGAGAATGCCACAATTTAAACAGGGTAAAAGTTTATTTTGAGGATAATTGAATATAAACCACAAATCAGCACAAGTTTATCTTGGCGAACTGAAGTAAAAAGTTCTGTTTATAAAATAATTATTATTTGCCTCAGTTATTGTCTCAGGATTTGGATTAACGAGTTACTTTTTTATATGTTTTAACTCAAGACATTAATTTTCTCAAAAAATCTTTTTCACAGATGACCCACACAGGAATTATTAATCTTCATAATAACACCATTAATCGGATCAACCCTTACGCAATAACTCCACGACATTTCAACGCGAGTTTAAAATGAATTTTTAAGCGGGTATTATCAACAGACATTTAACTTCCTTTGTTGCTAGAGTATTTACCACATGAACTCAGATTGCGTTTATGCATGTTAGAAACAACCTCATTTAAATGGTATTGTGAGACATTTTTTAAATACCAACTACTGTCCAAATAAATGGATAGGGCGAGGAAATAATTACCACCATAATTGGCCACCGCGATCACCGGACCTAAACAAATGTGATTAATTCCTTTGGGGGACGCTAATCTGTCTATTCTACCAGTCGAAACACTTGATGACTTATGAAATAGCATTATCAATAAATGTAGTTTAATAAAAGATGATCACAAATGCAAAATGCAGGTTTAGTATAGCAAAAAAAGTTTTAGAACCGAATTCTACCTAATATAAAAGCATACAAATTTGCCAAAGGAAAAAAATCATATAGAGTTAAGGGTGAATTATCATTAATTCCAATACTATTGAACTCATGATTAATTTATGTATCTAATGTATCTGAATTCTATACCAATCTTTATATTCCTGAGTTAAACCGTTGCAGGGGTGTTAATTTTTTTCGAAATTTGGGGCCTCACTTTGAAAGGGTGCAACTGGGTGCACTGGTGCAACTTTGTAAGTTTACATACACCTTCTTCTTGTTCTTCTTCTTCTTCTAGTAGTTGGTCCTAATAAGTCCCATTGCACTGCGGCCTAATTAGGCCTATTGTGCGTCCCACTACTAGTCCTATTCAGCAAGTAGATTTGTCCTTTTTACAAAGTCCAAAAGCTTCCTTGCTGACACTTCTCTCAGTTCCTTGGGTTCCAAATAGGGTCTCCCAAGGAGCGCCATTCTGCTACGTGCAAATCCCGGGCACTCGCCCAGGATATGCAGAGAAGTTTCATCCGCCGATTCACATCCTCGGCAGACCGGACTGTCTACAAGCTTTAGCTTATGTAGATGTTTCCTAAAGTGACAGTGTCCCGTTATGAGTCCTGTCACTCTCCTGAGCCGGATTCTATTCAAGCTCAGTAGCTCATTCGCTCTTCCCTTCGAAGGATACTCCATAAGCTCCTTAGAATGGCTATGTCCTGGCCTTGAAGTCCAGTATTTCCTGTGTTCTGTCTCAGTCCATTTGCCCAGAGCCCGCCTGACCACACTGGGAGATATGCCACAGAAGGGCTCCGGGCCAATGAACTCTGTCTCGGATCCCTTCCTAGCAAGTTCATCCGCTTTCTCATTTCCACAAATGCCTTTGTGCCCTGGCACCCAACACAGTCTGATTGTATTGTTGGTGGCCAGTTCAGTCAGCACTTGTAAACAATTCCACACCTGCTCTGTGTTGCTTCTTACGCGGAACACTTTATACATATATTACAAAACGTTATTTCTAGTTATGACATAAAGCACTTAGACACACTTTAGAGCATGATCGGCGTAATCTTGTACTTTGCTATAGACCTTCTGAAATAGGAATGTTTTGCAACATTCAATGTAAACATTATCTAGAACAGATACACACCAAAAATAATTCAAAGGATTTATTTTAGCAGTTTCGCTGTTCCATTTAATTGTTTTAATGATAATACAATAGTACGAGATGTTTTCGATAAGTTCAAGCGGTTACGTGGTAGGTACTTTAAATACCACAAAATGTAAACAAACCACTGTTACAAAGGAAATATACCTGATGGCTGATGAAACTTCCACTTGATTACAAACGTGATAAAATTGTTTGTCAACTATACAGGCTGGGTTGGAGAAGTTCACCAGTTTATATAGTAAATTATTTTAAGAAAAAAGTTTCACATGAAGTGATTATCAGACAGGGTTCTGAGGCACCCCGCGGTTTTCTATTTTATTTAAATAACCCGAAACGGCGCGAGTGCGAAACCATTGGCGTATTTGCCTGTTTAGTGAATTGGCATCTAAACCACTAGCCAGCGAGAGCAGTCCAGTACCACGTGGGGACAAGCAGCGAAAATGCACCTAGCTCAGGTGCAAGCGGTCGAGAATATCGCCTTCCGTTCCGCAACGAGGACCCCTTGGTTCGTCCGCAACAGCGACATTCGCCGGGACCTGGGATTCACTTTCGGCTTGCAGGCGATCAACCAGTGCGTGAGAAAGCTTTTCAAGCGCACAACCCGCTGATTCGGAACGCGGTGGAATACCGACTCGAAGAGGCTGCCGGGAGATGCAGGCGGCCTAGACATCAACTCCCGAATGCAGGATGAGTAACAATTTTTCTGTCTGCTTCAGAACCGCCACGATCAAGAAATGAAAACAACGACACACACACCTCCACCTAGCCGATCCCGGAGTTAAGGACCATATCCCTTCCCGCGTGAGCTTAAGGGTCACCTCAGCAGTATGCTTCCTAAGCTTCACAACTACACGACCTCACCCAAACCAGGTCATGGATCGCGCGAGTTTATTTTTCCTGCCAAGAATATTGGCGTCCGTCACCAGCCCCAGCAGTAGAGAGGTCGCCGTTTGAAGTAAGAAAATTCTTCAAAGTGCAGCTTGTGAAGATTGCGTAGCCGCCACCGGACGACGTAGAAACTTGGAAGTTAATCTGAGTTAGGAATTCAGTTTATATCCACCAGTCCCAGCGAGTAGTTCAGTCTGTCAGCAGTTCAGCACCAAGGAGACCGACGTTTAGAAAAATTCTTCCAAGTCCAGTCCAGAAAGACCGCGAAGCTGCCAACCAGCAAGCAGGACGAGCAGTCCGCGCATATTTAATGAACAAGTCTCCTGAATTGACCGGAGACGTAGCGGGGTAATTCTGCCTCCGTTAGTTCTAAACTACCGCTTGACTAGAACAGACGCAGACGTGCAGAAGCGAAAGTGGGTAAAAGGGTTAGGTAAAAACTTATCTACTCTCTACTTTGTCTTAATCACACTTTTCTTTTCAGCTATCCACCCGCAATTCGACGTGGTTAGGTACATTGACGTTTCTTTCCGGTGTCCTTGACCTGACTGCGCTTTCGGCTCATGGGATGTTGTCTCCCTTTCGACAATCTAGAAGTTGAAACGTAGGTCGTAACTAGTCGCGTTTTTATTTTCAACCCGCATGTCAGCCCTGAAGAGCCCTGCTATTATTGTCGTATTTTGTTATGTAAAGATAATAGACAAGCCTGTAGTTTATTAAATGTAATGACTTTTGCCCGCTTGATCGCTTCCTCACTCCTGGTATCTGCACCCCGCTTGCCTGTTACAGTTCTGCTAACTCTGGCTTAACACCGTACCGTTGTTTTACTGTTTCCAGTAGTCATCACTTGCGTATCACATAGTCACCGTCTTATCGTAGCTTTGTACTAGTAATGTAGAACTGTATAGAATAGAATAACCTTTAATACATGTAAATATTTATAAAGTGTGACTTTTATTGATGTGTGAAGTCTAAGTCTCCCTAGACGCCTGGCTGGCTGGCCTGAGTGGTGTTTCTGCATTATAAACAGAAACTGGCGCTCGAGGTAACCGCCTCCGTAAACACCTTCGTCGCTGAGGCGTCATAGTGACCTAGCCGACGAACGAACAAAGTGATAACGTTACAGAACATGGGTCGTAGTGTGCCTCGTTTTCGAGATAAAGGATATGGAAATTAGGAAAAAAAATTACATTTTCTAAAATATCGCTGAGGGTGTTAGAAGTTGGGTCACTGAATTATTCAATTAGAAGTAGAAACCTTATAAGTTGACTTCAAAATAGGACAACAAATAGTGGAGATACGGGGAATCAATACTACCAGGAGCCTCAGAATTTCGACGACACTGAGTACTATGCAAATTCTCCGATTAGTTTTTATACAAACAATTTCTGAGAATATTATTTTGGAAATATGTATGTATGTCATAAGTCTATGCTCTAAAAAATTATTAACGTAGAAATTTTGATATTTTTTAGGAGCTAGGAAAAAGCATCACATCTAACGAGCGTTCAAATAAAAACGTGGTCAAGTTGGTTCTGAAAATTTGGACGTAGGGTGTAGCGTATAGCAAATGAACTTAAACGACATCTGTCGTTTTAAAAAGAGTTTAAAACGGTGTTTTCTCAAGAACAAAAAGTGTTTATCATAGAGTCTTACTTTAGAAATGGACGCAAGATTGATGGAATATGGAAGTATTCTATTGAGGAATGTTTCATAGAATTTCAAAATCAATTTCCCGGCGTTGTTGAGTACAAAATTTTTCAAAGTGCAGTTCAGCGTTGTGTTAATGTTTTTCGTGAAACGGGCAGTGTAACAAGAAAAGAAGGAAGCGGCCGACCTAAAAAGCGGACTGAAGAATTAAAAGAAAATGTCCAACAAATAATGGAAAATGCGCCAAGAACTTCTGTACGTGTTTTATCACAAATGGTGGGAGTATCAGTCGGTACCTGCCACACAGTGTTAAAAAAAGATTTGCGTTTGTTCTCCTATCGTTTAACTTGTCAGCAAGAACTTCATGAAGTTGATTTTCCGCGACGGGCTGTATTTTGTGAATGGTTTTTAAACAACTACGGTGAACTTCATAATATCACCTTTTTTTCTGATGAAGCCTGGTTTCATTTAAGTGGTTACGTAAACTCACAGAATATGAGAATGTGGTCTTCTGAAAAACCAGATAACTTTTTTGTCGAGGGCCCTCTACACGCTCAAAAAATTGGAGTTTGGTGTGCTCTCAATCGAAGGAGGATTTATGGACCTATTTTTTTTAATGGTACTCTTACTGCGCAAAGGTATAGAGAAGAAATTATCGCTCCTTTTGTTAACCAGCTGGAAGAAAACGAAATTACAAACTTTTACTTTCAACAAGATGGCGCAAGGGCACATACGGCAGGCGAGACGATGAATATGTTGAGGGAAGTTTTCCAAAATCGACTAATAAGTCTCAATGCTGAACATGAATTTCCACCGAGGTCATGTGATATTACGCCGTGTGATTTCTTTTTGTGGCCTTACCTTAAAAACACTATTTTTGAACTGCCTATTCCTGATTTAAACCATCTGCAGGCTCGACTTATAGACAAGATTCGTGAAATTAACAATACCCCGAGCATCTTAGAAAATGTCTTTAATTCTTTGAGGAACAGGTGTGAAAAGTGCTTGGAACAAGGAGGGGGACACTTTCAGCAGCTGCTTTAATTTATTGTTATAACAAGGAGGGGGACACTTTCCGCAGCTCCTTTAATTGTTTGTTATTGTTATCACGATTATTCTTTAAAATAAAGTTATATAGTCATTAACGTTATTGAAACTGACAGCTGCTATACAGCTCGTTGAGAAATGAGGTTAAGTTGGTCGCTATAAGCTACTCCCTACGTCCAATGTGTCAGAGCCAACTTCGACCACGTTTTTATTTGAACGCTCGTTACTTGGCGATGAGGGTATTATTTGTTATTTCCATAAATGCAATTAGTTCGGTTACCACGTCAAAAAAATTGTATTTATGTACAGGTACAAGCATACCAAATTTTATTTCAATCGAAAAAAGTCTTTTTGGAGTTTTTTTTTTTAAAGAAAAATTTTTTAAGCTCTCTACCCGTTAATAGAAACAAATTTAGTAGTTGATTGCTCTTACTGTAACCCTAAGAATCTGAGACAATTCCATGTCCACAAAATACTGGAACGCACTGAATATTTCTTTTTTTAGAAACTTTGACTCATAAGAATAATCATTTCCTGTCAGGCAGAAACACTATAGTACATCTGTTCGAATGGAAATGGAATGATATAGCCGAGGAATGTGAACACTTTTTAGGATCTAAAGGATACGCTGGGGTACAGGTATATTTAATTTACACCACATTTTAGTAGAACCGCGTTTACTCCAAGAGTGTTTCTTTATGTTTTCATAATGGAAAAGTAAAAGGCAACAAAACTTTATGGTGTCACATAATATACTGTAGTTTTTGTCTCCTACTTAAAACTGTCAATAATTTATAACAGGATGTAAGAATTTAAGAGGAAAATTTCAGATTTCTCCTCCTAATGAGAATCAAGTTATTACTTCGACGGCTTTTAGACCATGGTGGGAGAGGTACCAGCCCGTCAGCTACAAGCTTACTACCAGATCGGGCGATGAATCTTCCCTTGCAGACATGATACGCACATGTAATGCAGTAGGAGTAAGGTAAATACAATGATCTGCTTAAACAGAAATACAAGATTTAACAAGAACGTTCCAACGAACTTTAAAATAAACAATATACTCGTAATACTTTGATTATTATTAGCTTTGTTGGTGTTCGAAGTGCTCGCACAAGAAAATACTTTTTTAATACAATGCGAAACATCGCCTTAATGTTAAAAATGTTGTCACCGCCGTTATTGGTGGTGAAAATTCGAAATATTTGAAATTATTCAATTTTCATGGCTGAAAACATACCGTTGTTTTATTAAATTGGAAATTTTATATCGATTATTTTCTCGGCAACCAAAACACAAATTTTAGATTGAATATATTTGAAATAGACACGAACAGTGTGTGAATTACTGTAATGAATTTAAATGAAAGATATTTATCAATAGTATAAGTTAAAATGTTGTAATTAATAAATTTTCATAATAAAATGTCTCGACTGTCAAAATTATGATAAAAAGTGAATTTGCATATTCATAAAACTATTTAAATGCACTCATGTAGTACAATTATGTTATAAAGAACAGTAAAGAACCATATTACAATATTAAATGTCAATTATTAGTTCTGGCACAAGCACATTTAATAATACAGTGAAATTTTGACAAGTCATCGACGGATGACGAAGGTTTTTTACATGTAATGCTAATTCATGCAATAAAACTGGTATGTAAACCTGTAACCAGAATTTATGTGTGGAATTAAACCTATGCATCTGTGAAAACTTTTATGTATCATATAAATGTTGACATTTGTTGTTCCGTTAGAATTTGTAAATTGTTAATTGTGAAAGTGTATTAGGACTGCAAAATCATTTGTGCAGAATGTAAAAGACTCTCATAACTTCATAAACTGTGTTTAAACTCCAACCAAAGTTCAAATTGTTGTCCAGACTTTATAATAAGTTGAAAGGTCGGAGTACTTTGAAATTTTCTTTCGTTTACACCTGAAAAACGAGTAAAGATTGTATGAAAGGTGTTAAAAAGGTTGTACTAAAGACAGTGAAAGGACAGACATGCTGAGAATTAATCTATATATCAAAATTTAGTTGAAATTTAAAGTTTAGGTAACGAACTCCATATTTGGACGTCGCTGTTACATCATGCACCTACAACCCTTTAATGATAAAGCTAACAAACTACTAACTTTCGCTTGAAACATTTTCATTCTATTTCCTTTGTTGTAGAGTATATGCCGATGTAGTGTTCAACCACATGGCTGCTGTTGGTGGGACGGGAACCGACGGTACCTTCTGCGATCCTAGTATAAAATGTTACCCTGGCGTACCATACACCATTGACAACTTCCACGAGACTTGCGCCGTTAACAACTACAACGATGCCACAAATGTTAGAAATTGCGAAGTTGTCCATCTAAGGGATTTGGATCAAGTAAGGAAATCATTCATAATTTGTTGTTAAAAGTGAAAAGAACACATAAACAAAGGCAATTACTTTACAGAGTCAGGAATACGTTCGACAGGAAATAGTTCAATACCTAAATCACCTAGTAAGTCTGGGTGTTGCTGGTTTTAGGATAGATGCCGCCAAACACATGTGGCCCTCAGATCTGAAGATAATATTCCACAGAGTTAATGATTTATCCACGGAACATGGTTTTCCAAAAGGAAGCAGACCGTTCTTTTACCAAGAAGTCATAGACCTAGGTAGTGTATCTTCGCTTGTAGTGCTGAACCAGTAAAATAATTTATTTTGTTGGCTTTAGCCTTTGGTTATACTTAACGTGGTAATATTATCAGGTGGGGAGGCTGTTAGTAAACGAGAATACGTTGGATTCGGAGCAGTTTTGGAATTCAAATTCGGCGCCGAGCTAGGAAATGCTTTCCAAGGCAACAACCCTTTGAAATACCTCAAAAACTGGGGGCCAGAATGGGGTCTATTGGAAGGGAAAGACGCCGTCGCCTTCATAGACAACCACGACAACCAAAGAGGTACGTCCGAAGCTATCCTCACTTACAGGAAACCGAAAGAGTATAAAATGGCTATCGCCTTCATGCTGGCCCACCCATATGGCACTACGAGGATAATGTCCAGCTTCTTCTTCGATACTTTCAATCAGGGTCCACCAAATCGCAATGGAGAAATTATTGGACCTGGTACCAACGACGACGGTTCCTGTTCTAACGGGTGGGTATGTGAACACAGATGGCGGCAGATATATAACATGGTAGAGTTTAGAAACGCAGTGGAAGGAACCGTCATTACAAATTGGTGGGACAATGATCACAACCAAATCGCTTTCGGTCGTGGTGAAAAAGGGTTCGTTGCGTTCACATTGAACGGCGACATAGTTCGAAGTCTTAAAACCTCTCTTCCAACCGGTATATACTGTGATATCATTTCTGGTAGTTTAAAGAATGGAACTTGCACGGGAAAATTTGTAGAGGTTGACGGAAATGGATACGTCACAATTTCGCTATGTGAAAATGAGGAAGATGGTGTTGTAGCTATACACGTTAATGCAAAATTATAAAATACATGAAACATGTAACCTATAACACTTGACTATTTTGAACTTAGGAGATTTTTTACTTGACAAATGTATAATAATTAGGTTTATATTTATTTGAATTGTAAATTTCTTATATAAATAAACTATCACTTTATTTTGGGTATAACTTTGTTCCATTCTTGTAGATATAAATTTAGATGTTATTAACCACATCTGAAACTTATTAGTATTCAACTGCTGATCAAGAATTTCTTAATGTAAGTCCAATAAAATACCTGTGTCAGGAAATTCTATAGGAAATTCATGGTTTTTTAAAAAACTGTACAGAATTGCATTTAAAAAAAAAATCATGTTAAATCATCTCCTGGAATTAAATAAAAGGTAACGTTAGAACGACAAAGATACAGAATTTTTTAAAAATCGAATTATTTAATTACACAGGTCAGCAAGGGTCAAGAAGAAGTAGACACACTAATATGCATTCCCGAAGGATTTTGGTGCGCTGAATCCGAATCTGGCCGCAGAATTGCTCTATCACATCAGGTTTTTGAGATATCCTAACCTAAAAGTGCAAAAAACACTGTTTTTCGTCATATTTGAGGTTATGTAGTAATGTCATCTATTCTTTTTCAAAAAAAAAATACATATAATTTAAAAGTACAAGGCTCCCTCTTTCGAATGCCGTTGAGTTCGCTCAAATATCTTTTTTTTCCGTTGAGATATCACATGTT